GATGCAGTTCAACAGCCGTTGCAAGTACACTAGCGCCACGTCGTTGCTCTTGCTGCAAGAGGCTTCAAACTCTGAGGGCATTTTTTTGTTGCTGTTGATCTGTCCGCCTGGTTCTGTATTTATGAAGCAGATGGTGGCTGGTGCATTGGGCTGACCTTCTTGCTATCAGCATTTTCGCCCCGACATGAACGTTCATATTTGTAGTCAGCTGCTACTGGTGTAGGCCTCGGTGACATCCATATCCCGAATCATTGAGCTTGGCTTTATCTATTGCATTGTTGGCTGCATCGAGCAATGCTGACGATAATGATCAGAATCGCAAATACATCTGACCGAATAACGAGCCTTTGCTCCTGGACACAAGCGAGACCCTGCGTCCATGCAAGTACAACCCCTAACAACAACCTGCAACATGTTTTGCGCCCCGCCAGGAAGAGATCTCACTGAACTACAGAGCTTTGATGTTCGGTGACAGCGCAGAATCCGGCTGGCGAGCCAGAACACCTGAGAAGCACAACCAGCCGGTGGCTCGATGAAAAAACTTCATGATTCTGCAGGTTCAGCTGTTTCATGTAGTTGTTCATCGCATACTTAGCACTCTGAACTCTCGGACATGTCTGAAGGCTCATTCCGTACTTTCGCGGGTTGCTACATATGAGAACATAAACTCCTTTGCGCGTGTGCACAAAATGACACCACAACAGAACTGAGATGGACATATCGGAAAAAGAAGTACATGACAGAACAGAACTGATCGTATACATGTCGCCGGCCCTATAGGTCCCCAGATTTCACAATTTCATCTCGGCGTTTTTGAGAAAGTGGCACTTCCGGTTTCAATGCAGGTGGTTGGAGTTGGGCTCTCCCGAGGAGGCACAACAAACTTGGTGACATACCTCGCTGGCAGCGCCTCATGCAAAATCCACTCCACGATCTGCCACGCTCAACTCCGACGTCCCGAATCCCTCAACTCCGTAAACTCTGGACCTTGTGCCCAGTGTCCACACTTCATAAAATGAACCCTAACCGAAGAACCTATCTTCCCGTTTCCTGAGCTAAACTTCTGAGGCCTCTGTACTTGTAGATGACCGACGGCTTGTCCAAGTCAGTAACAGACTCGCCGTCAAGGCGAGGAAAGATTTCCTGAAAGGACAATGATATTTGCAATGATGGAGCTGCATGAGATTGCAGCAGCATCATTGCCAGTGGCAGTGCGGACACCCGCAATAACATATCACAACAACTCCAGGCTACAGCAACAGCAGTTGCAGCAACAGCCACAGCACAAAACACAGCACAACATCTTCTTTCTTGGGTGTTAGCAAGTGCACGATTTGAGAACAACAAATTCGGTAATAAGCCAATGTCAAGGACAAGAAGAACAGTATGGTCTGCCATTGAAGGAGGAATTCGAGGGCTCTGCTCCTTGTGGGCGCTCCTCGCCCAGTAGTGTCGGGCGAAGCGGAGAAGCTCCCTACGACCCTGCGAATTGTCAGCAGCCCGAAACTGTGTTCGTGCGAGACGGAGAATAAAGTGTCGTCTCTAGCTTCCCTAAGAAAAGTGCAGCAGGCATTCTCGCGTGATTGGATATGCAGCAGCTCGACCTTGTGCGACCTACTGGCCTCGGTTGGCAAAAGGTGGTTGAAAGAGCTTGGCGGTTCGAGTCATGCTGTTGCGTGACTGACGCCGAACGTTTGCATAATATACTTGGGGTTTCGGCCTTGTTGCGTATCGGTCTGTTTCACAACAGATGCTGTGCTGTGCACCCAGCGCAAAAGGCTACATGACTTCAATTTTTTTTCAACTTAAACAAGGGTTTGGGGCGACACATGCAGCTGCAGGAGCCGATGCAGAGCCCCAGAGCCTGCCCCCGGTTAGCAGCATATGCCATCAGCAACTCAGGGGTCGGAAAGTGGTTCTTAGAGCTCCGAGACAAATCGCGACTCCGGACGGACAAGGCCGGCGGTGCCTTAAAGTTCTGTGTCCACAAACTATAAAAGCTGTGCCGAGCCGTGACAGTGACAGGGCAGGAGCAATGGCAGCACGCGCTGCCTGCTGCTGCAACCACATAAACACGACGCACAAAAAGAGGATTAACATGACAACGACCACAAACAATAGCAGCCATTCACACATGAAACAAGAAAACAAATCAGTACACGACTCGAGCAGACACGCAGACGAAAACTAAACCCGATGCACGCACAGGAAGACAGAGAGAGAGAGAGAGAGAGAGAAAGAGAGAGAGAGAGAGAGAGAGAGAGAGAGCGAGAGCGAGAGCGAGAGCGAGAGCGAGAGCGAGCGAGCGAGCGAGCGAGGGAGAGCGAGAAAGCGAGAAAGCGAGAGGAGCAACAAACCATAAAACGCAACCAGCAAGTCGGCGAGCGAGCGAGAGAGCGAGAAAGACAGAAAAGGACCAACAGCACTACTCAACAAGACTGACAATCAAACGACATAATTGGCAGTGCCGGCAGCACAACTACGGCCAAACATACTCCGTGCAACCAGAGAGACAAAGATGCAACTGTCCCCGAACTTTTTGAGTAGACTGTTCTTCGTGAGCCCGGAAGGCCATATCGAAAGTCGGCCTAGGGAAGCTGCCACGAATTCAACTAGACACTTTCAGGATTTCCAGCACAAACACCTGCATCGAATTTGGGGAGAAACACCAGCATCGCAACACTGCAGCAGCGTCTCCAAGCGCTGTAAGACCAATATTTCTGAGTCGTTGGTCTTCTTGAACCTCAGCTGTACAGCCTGTCCAGACTTTTCAGATGCATGGAGCCTGAAGAACCAACATGAAGCCTTACACCGTCAAACTATCAACTGCTAGCGCACTCCCAGCACCGATCACTGTCGCACACCCAAGGTGCGGCATCTTAAGCCAACCTGTGATTAAGGATCAGTTAGACGTGAGGCTCATGCCTTGCCCGCCCCCACCAGCCACCACCCTGTTTGGGCACCTCACCGTCGCTGTCATGTGCAACATCCTGGAGCGATCAGAGCTCGTTGGATCGCGCTCGGGCTTGACACATCCTTGTTCCACATCCGCGTCTGCCTGTGGTATGATGTTACAGTACCAAAGACCCCGAGAAGAGCACGCAACATCAAAAGGGGGTTGCGGAGGAGAGCCCACCTAGCATCATGATGATGATGATGATGATACCACGACCGCCAAGCGGACCCAAGCCTCGCACCGCACCACACACACCCGCCACACCGCATCACAGGTGGCGGGTGCGGGGGTAGAGAGCTCAGCAAAAATTGAGGGGGAGGGTGGGAGCAGGCCGAAGCCGGATACTATGTGCTGCCTCGGGCATCCGGTGTCGACTGCAGGAGAGGTGAAGAGAACGCGGAACCGTTGTGAGAGTGTTGGACAGCCAACAGGCAAACTACACATCGCCATGCACAACCACGGAGGGAGGGAAACGGCGGACAGGCGGGGTTTCGAACACTTGCTGGCAGACCCTGTGCCACATGCGTGCGTGCGTGTGTGTGTGTGCGTGTGTGTGTGTGTGTGCGTGTGTGTGTGCGTGCGTGTGTGTGTGTGTGCGTGTGTGTGTGTGTGTGCGTGTGTGTGTGCGTGGGTGTGTGTGTGTGTCTGTCTCTGTGCATGTGTTCGAGGTGACCCGAGGTGTGCACAACTGCAAGCACTTCGATGTTGCTTTTTGGATTTTGCCATCACTGTGAAATCTCAAAGACGCCAACGATCACCGAGATGCGATGGCTTTGGATTGAAATCCTCTCTCCTGCGAACTGACAAGAAACCTACCGTCACAAACACGAGAGGCTTGGGGTCGCGATCCTGCTAACTGTTGTTGTTTTTCTCGGATCTTGATATCGCCGCAGCGTATCAACATATCAACACCGCCAACAGTCTCAGACATGGCACCAAATGAAACTACACCAAGTCACACCTGCCTTCCCCCCCCTCGTACTCTGCCAGGCATACGGTCGACTCCAGAATCCAGGTCGCAGTGGACATGTTCACTCGCGACGAAGATGTGGGCTCCAACAACGACAACTTTCACGAGGACCTAACGACTCTATTGGCGACGACGAAGACGCCAGGGTCCTGAAACGACAGTCAAGAGGATCGCGGTATCGAAGCGTCTCCCTTTTATGAGGATCCTGGCCCGAACGCCCCTTGCCGCAAGCCCCAAACGAGCAGTACAAGCAAGTGACCAAGCATGATCTCACTTTGAATGGCATTGCACATGTATATGTTGTGACCACTGACCGACCGTGGTGGCAACGACATGCAACGACCGACTCCCCATAAAAATCACACGACTGGGGAGGCGGGGGCGGGACGTGGATACCCACACCTGCTGCTATGGTATTTGTTGGGGTTGCCGGGAGGGGGAAAGGGGCGACGAAGATGGCAGTTTGTTGTAGAGTTATGTCTGTTGCTGACACTTTGCTGTGGTTTGCTATGGTATCTGGTATGTGCTGATTGTGTGAAGTTCTGGAATCAGTTCAGTGCAGCTTTTCGTGTCGAGTTGCAGGATTTACAGTTTCGGGTAGCTGGCAGCTCGCCTGCAAACCACGGCACTTGTTTACACACCGGATGGGCGTCACTTTGTCCCGACCGCTGTCGCCCGCACTGCTGACTTCCTGGGTCTCTGCGCATAAATAGGGCTGCGACTCTGAACCTCAAATGAGTCAACTGTGATTAACGGAAGATTTCCACATCGCTTTGTACCAGTGTAGTTCTTGGTGGACTCTACCAGTCTACCAGTCTACCAGTTCCGGGATGCCGCTTGGAACAAACACTACAAAACGAAAGCACTCACTAGATGCTCTTTTCGACATGACATGTGCAGACATCTGGACAGTGTGAGCCGATGAACTTGCTTCACTACAGTCTGACCAGCCAAGAATGCTGCAAACCTGCTGAACTTGGGGACACAACGCCCATCTACGGGCAAACCTGAAGGTGGCTTCAGACTTCCGCAGGGTTCCCCAAATTGTCAGAATGTTGCTTGATACCGAATGGCCTGAACGTAGACTTCACTGCTATTGAAGAGGTCATTGCGTCCTGCAGGCGGACGCCGTCGCAGCAAGGGCATTGCAGCACCGGCTCATTGCAAGCCTACAGGATTGTCCATACAGACTGTGCAAATTCAGCATCCACCAACGCGTGTCTTGCTAGGCCCGATCACGCCTCCATTCGCTCGACATGCTATGGGACAGTCCTTCCGGAATTCCCACGGACCTCTTCTTGACCCGGGTTTCAGTTTTGACCGAGAGGCCATCACGTTTGATGGTGACCTCAAGTAGGTTACGCTGGCCGCAAAAGCACAAAATGCTGTCGTCTCACTCACCCTCTTCAGACCTCCTTTGTCTTCATTGAACCCGTGATGTCAAGTGTCAATAGGAGAACTGCAGCCGAACCAATAGAGATTCTTGGGAAGGCCATACAGTGGTTCAAACCTACACTGTAGCCCTCTAATCTGGGAGCCGTGGCGCAGCAAGAACGTTGGGATTTTTCGGATCCCACTCGACTGATTCAAAAGCCCGGGGCCCGCCCCCGGAGCCGCGGATGTAGCCTCTTCACGTTCGGGGTCTGTTCTGTGCAATTTTTAGCAAGGGGCGTCAATATGTGAGACATCACGAGTATGTGCAATTCAGATTCAGGGTCTAAAATCTAGAGAGTTGGAGCATCTGTCAGACTCAAAACCATAGTTACGGGCTCGGACCCATCCAGTGATTAATTGCAAACGGCGAAAACCCATTTAAATTTCATGTTGGATCCGTTTTAGGTGCTTTGGCACGGAAGCCTAGTGCTGCATACTGTGGCCGGTGTCAAGGTGAGAATCGGGGCTGGAAACGGAGCTTCGTGAACGCCTCGGGTTCACAGCATAAACTGTTGATGTCATCAGGATGCCTGTAAACCCACACGAAATAGCCTCACATACGCTATTCGTTTACGACTCTGCCAACCTGTGAAATCTAGATCATTAGGGAAAGCGGTGCCTACAAACCCACCTGACGGGGAAAACGCCCCATCTTCCAGGAAGACCGGTTGGCCTCGCATGTTGTAGGCCCGATCTGCCACGACCTGTCCTGATGCAATGTCCAGCTACGGTTGCGAGGATGTTCTGGTGGTTACACTGTATAGTTGTACATATATATACATATATGTATATATATTTATATGTGTATATATATGGTCCACATATATATATATATGTATATATTTATTTATTTATATATATAGCCTCATATTTTCTTTCCAAGCATTCAGAGGTGTACCCAGCTGTAATTAAACGTCGGGTCCCGCAGCGCCTTGAAAGGTGCTGCCACGAAAGGGATGGTCCCACAAGCTCCCGGTGGCTCTGACGGCACTTATTGTGCCTGACGTCACACGTTCCCAGGCTTTACGTAGCTCAACCGGGACGCAATCGGCAGGGTCTAGAACTGCGGAAGCAGCATGGCCGGCTCACTGTCAACAGACTTTCCCCTTTTCCAGTCTATGGACCCGTCGTTGTAATTCGATGACCTCGGTCTTGATGAGATCGCAGATGAAACTTCCTCAATGTCGTACAGAAGGTACTTCTTCAATACCTCGATGATCGCACGTTGCACACTTTCGGTGTTATTCCAGTCGAGGAGCTCGTAGCAAATCGCCTTGTAGGTTGTTTTTTGCTTCGTCGCTCCAATCATTCACCGGTCCTTTGACCATCGGTGTTTCACCTGCTGCCTTGGCGCAGGGTTGTACTCCTCGATCTGTTGTTGTCTCCGGCCTTTGCTACCAAAGCCCGGGAGGATCCTTTCGGCTGGAACACCTCGTTTTCGAAGGTTATAAGGCACCTGGCTGTCTGCGAGGTCCTCGTCGAGACGGCTTACATCCTTGCGGGGGTACGATGGGAACTGGCTCTCCGGCCATCCAACGTCGTAGTCCGCATCCTGGTCTCCCCATCGATCATAATAGGATGTGCCACGTTGCCATCCACCACCTTTTCCCGGCTGTGGCTCCTTCCCAATACCCCCATGATTGAGGTTTCTTGCCCATGCGCCGCCTGAGTTCTCTGTAGCGAGGCACGCTATGGTGCCTTTCCAAGGTCACAAGATCCCTCTTCCAGGGACGCTTCCTTACTGCCCGTAGGGACCAGACTCGAGGTCGAAGTTTCGATCGGCTCTGGCGAGCCCGCCGATGCCAGGTTGGCGAGGCCGGTATGGCTTCAAAGGCGCCCTTGCACCGCTGGGGTCTAGCGGCAATATCTTGGCGGGCGCCCAAAAACTCGATCCGAAACCTTATATATATATATATATACATTATATATATATATATACATACATACATGTTATATATATATAAGATATAAATAAATAAATAAATATATATATATATACGCATACATACATACATACATACATACATACGTATACAGGATACAATACAAAAGCTCTTTGGTACTGGTGTTTCTTTTTTGCCAAGACTACCCTTGCCACTTGTAAAACCATCTCAGGTCAACGGAAGGTATATGTGCAGACAGACGGTTGGATGAGTTTCAGAGATTGGGCTTCCGACGGGTTTGCGCGACAATGTGCTATTCGGTAACAGAATTCTTTGGAGATACTTGGAGAACTGTAGACCAAGTGGGCGCTCGTGAGATGACAGAATGCCGACAGCTTGCAATGAAGCACATTCCTACATAACCCTGTGCCAGGAAGATTGCAGCAAACCGCATTCGCATGCTGTACCCACAGTATATACTCCGTCTTTGGATGCTGGTTAATTGTGATTCGTGCGTCTTGGTGCCACCATAAATTCGGCTCATGTTCTTCTCATTTCTAACAGATCAGACCAGACAAGGAACCATCGAAGTCCACGTACTTTTGCGGGTACCGCTCGACTGCCTGCAGCATCTGGCGACAGAATGGTCCAGGGAACAGTGTCTTGGGATGTCGCCATAATAACTATAACTATCTGCAGTACACTGAAAAAGCCGGAGCATGGGCTATGGAACAACGTCCTCGAAACTCGTCAAACCTGAAGGAATGGGGATAGTGATGTTGCAACTGATGGCTGCTAAAGATGCTTAACTAGCCGATCGATGCATGCATCTCTGCATCTGTCTGTCGACACCACAGCAACAACAGCAAAACAAACAGCAACAAACATCAACATCACCATCGACAATACCGCCACCTCCACCACCGCAGCCACCATCACCACCACCCCGCCGCCGCCGTCGCCACCACCAGCACCACCAGCACCACTGCAAGCATCACAAGTCGCAATTGCCCACAAGCCCCACCACAAGCACCATCACAGGTAACGCCACAAACACCACCACTAAACGTCACCAACCAAACAACAACACCACCACCGCCACCACCGCCACCACCGCCACCGCCGCCGCCGCCCCCACCACCACCCCCACCACCACCCCCACCCCCACC